ATATTTAGATCAGTGATAGGTTCATTAACCCATTCCATTACTCCTCCTCCTACATCTTCCTGTTCAGTCTCTACATAACCTCCCAATATAATCAGGAACACATGATTAGGATCAACAACAAAAGATGATATAGTATGATTGTATCTACCAGTAACTGAATCAGGTACAGGAATCTGTAGAAAATAAGAAATAGAATAGATTATACAGCATACAGTGATATAAAGTGGGTATCAGTTATGAGATAGTTCGACGTACATGTAGGTAGCTATAGGGTTAGCATTTAGGACATTACTCAACAAATATTAAAGCAAAATAGTAAAACAATAATTAATTTTTCACGCAAGCAAAAGTAATGTGCATTGATGCACATTAATCGTGTTCACACTAGAGTTAACGCGCACCACTCTCACTTCACTTCTTTTTGATGCGGTGTGACTAATGGCAACAAGAACACAAAATGATACATAATGCATTAATACCTTCATCCAATTGTACTGGTTTGTGTCTAATAGCAAACATTCATTTACTAGTTCATTATCACTATCTACTCCACCAATCACTACTAGTGTAGGTGAGGTAGAGACACCATTGATAATAGTACTGGCATGAGAGTCTCTTCCTTTAGGCCACAGTCCATCATTAGGTATTGATCCTGGTTTAAGATACTCCCAGTTCTAGAAATAAAATTAAATGTGCATTATTCTTATCTGTAGTCTGGTCACGCCCCTTCTGCCTATCTTATCTGTTAATGGTTTTATCATAACTGATAGTGTATAACTTACTATTGTATCATGTGATGATTGAAACAAGTAGATACTGTTAGTAGAAATATCTCTACCACCATCAGTCACTATTCCTCCATACATAATTCCTTTATTATGATTGATCCTTTCAATTATAAAACTATCAGTTGGTGGAAAACACTGTCCACTGACAGATGGAACGACCCATTGTCCTAAAAATAATTATCAATAACTGCAATTTATTTCTAATATGCAATACATGTGCATGTATGGTAGACAGTACCATTATACTATTGACTATAATAAACTATATGTAATTTTATTCTGGCATCAAAATATTTTAAATGACACTACAATACTGTAACAATAAAATGAGTCACTTACGACTGGAAAAGTTGTAGATATTCTGTTCATTAGTTCTAAGATGATCATCAAAACAAGGTATCTCATGATATTTAAACTGATTGTGCTGTGCAGTTGTTGATATAGGAGCCAGTCCACAAATAACCAGTAACTGTTGAGGTTCACCTTCCCTTCCCATTGCTATCATACCACCATAGCCTCTCTTAGTCACAGAGTTGTCACTAGTTGATTGTAATTCTTTCCATTGAAGAGTTAAAGTGTCTAAACAGTTCAAACTGTTATGGAAGCAACTGTCATGGCCACAATAACCACCAAAATAATAAATATTATTATTAATGGTGGTACAGGAGACTCCTCTGATTCCCAGTGGAGGAGTACCTCTAGTAGGTTGAGAGGACCAAACACCAGATAATAAGTTAAATGCATCAATAACAGAAGTACACTGTCTCTTTGTAGGAGAATCGTGGGACTCATCTAATCCTTCCTGGCTCCCTCCCCAGCAGTACAGGACATCTCCTACTACTGCAGTTGTGTGTTCATAGCTCCATCCAAATAGATATTGACCTATAGAATACTGGTAATCAATATTTACAAGAAAGGGAGTGGAAGGAACTGACCTGATACCAAGCCTGAATTTCTATCCATCTTTAAACTTTTCTTAAATTTCTACCACCACGGCACCACCTACACAGCCAAGAATTTTATTTTGAATCATGACTGATATCAATCATAATCAGCTTTATATATTCCTGTATCATGGATTTTGGACAGCCTGCAAAGCAATGAGTCTAGTATGATACAATCATGATAACCATCCATGATACAACCATGCTGGAGTATGGCCTTGGTTCAGCCAAAGCAACAGACATAATTCAACATTGATGCCAGTCAGTGCTGTATCAAAATTGACATCAGGCTTGAATCATTGATTTTGGGTAGTGGCCTGTATCAGAGATGATCATTCTTGGCTGTGTACCACATATCATAGTCCATAGATATCAGATGCACCATGGATGCACCTATCAAGTGCTCACCCAGAAGCCACATAAACTGGTTAGTGGATACTGCATATGGGTATACATGTACAGTCACAATTTCACATAAAACTATACAAATAGAAAAAATCAAAGTAGCAAGTGTTGGGATAGTCTTTGTCTTTTATCAAGACACCTCTGAGCACTCTCTCTTTCCTTCTGCTTGATTGGCTCCTTCTTCTTCCTCTGCCTATAACTTTACAACAATACAAATAAATAATACTGACTAAAATGAATTCCTTTAGTAACAAATAATGATATCATATACTTACTGAGAACACTCTCAGCCATTCCATGACCTCCTGGTCAGTTTCTTGCAGCTGCTTCCTAATCTCCTGACGTCTTATCTCAGACTTAGCTAATGAATGAAGCATCCTCTTCTGCTGCTGATTGTATTCATGCTATAGAACAAGATTAAAGAAGATACATACACAATTAAAGTATATTGTATATGGTATAAGGTAGTGAAGAAATGGA